CAAGTATTGCTCCAGGGTCTGGTTGGTCCTTTCGGTCTGTCCGTTAGTCTGTGGGTGGAACGCAGAGGAAAGGGACAATTTGATGTCCAGGGCTTTGCATAGTGCCCTCCAAAATCTTGACGTAAATTGGACCCCTCAGTCCGAGACAATGTCTTTGGGGACCCCATGCAGTCTTACAACCTCACAAATGAATACTCGCGCAGTCTCGGCTGCCGAGGGAGTTTTCTTCAATGGAATGAAGTGGGCCATTTTGGATAAGCGGTCCACGACCACAAGGATTGCCGTGTGGTCTAGCGATGGCAGAAGCTCGACTATAAAATCTAGCGAGATTCTTTGCCAAGGTCGTTCGGGAATCGGTAAAGGCCGCAGCAGACCCCAAACTTTGTTCCTTGATGGCTTGTCCTTCTGGCAGGTGATACAGGATCTTACATAGCCCTTACAATCTTTAGCCATGTCCGGCCACCAGAAGGAGCGTCGGAGAAGCTCCAGGGTCTTTTCTGGGCCAAAGTGCCCCACCATCAGGTGGTCATGGCAATGTCCCAAGACCAGGGTTCGGGCTTCCTCCGGCACCGCAATCCAATCTTCCCTCCATAGGAGTCCCCCCTTGTTCTGGAGGGGCCTTCCTACTGGGGTTGATACGGTTGTGGACGCCTCCATTATCTTGTAACTGAAGTGCCAAGAAGTTACCCGAGGACAGGATAGTGTCGGGCACTGGGATCTCCTTGGCGTCCTCGTACATACGTGATAACGCATCTGGCTTTGTGTTCTTTGATCCAGGCCTGTACGTGATGTGGAAATTAAATCTCGAAAAGAATAATGCCCATCTCGCCTGTCGTGGGCGTAAACGCTTGGCGGTCCTCAGGTATTCCAGATTTTTGTGATCTGTAAATATCAAGATGGGGTGCATGGCGCCTTCCAGCACGTACCTCCATTCCTCTAACGCCGTTTTGATCGCCAGTAGTTCTCGATCACCGATATCGTAGTTTTTCTCCGCGGGGGTAAGCTTTCGTGAGAAAAATGCTACAGGATGGAGCAATTCCTTGGTGCCCTTCCGCTGGGAAAGAATGGAACCTACTGCATTCTCCGATGCATCTACCTCTAAGATGTAGGGTAGGGCGGCATCTGGGTGACCCAAAATGGGTGCTGAGGTGAACAGCTTCTTCAAGGCTTCAAAAGCTTCCTGAGCCTCTGGTGTCCATCTGAACCGAGTTCCAAGCTTGGTTAGCTGAGTAATGGGGGAGACCAGACCAGAGAAGTTCTTGATGAACTTCCGGTAAAAGTTTGCAAACCCGATAAATTGTTGGACGCCTTTCCTGTCCGTGGGTTCAGGCCAATCCAGAATTGCAGTGACCTTCTGAGGGTCCATCGCGACCCCCGCGCTGGAGATAATCAGGCCCAGAAAAGTAATGCTGGATTGTTCAAAGCAACATTTATCTGCCTTGGCGTACAACCCATGCTGCCGCAATCGCCCCAATACCCTTGCTACATGTATTCTGTGCTCCCCCAAGGAAGGGGAGAAAATCAAAATGTCGTCTAAGTAAATGATAACAAAGATATCCAGGAAGTCCCTAAAGATATCATTCACAAAGTGTTGAAAAGTGGCCGGAGCATTGCACAACCCGAACGGCATGACCAAATATTCAAAGTGGCCGAAGCAGGTGCGGAATGCCATCTTCCACTCGTCCCCCTCCCTTATGCGAACCAAGTTGTATGCTCCCCTCAAATACAGCTTTGTGAAAACCACTGCCGCTTTTAAACTTTGGAATAACTCCGGTACCAATGGTAGTGGGTAACGGTTCTTTATTGTGACCCTGTTCAACTCCCGGTAATCGATACACGGCCTTAAGGTTTTGTCTTTTTTTTCTACAAAGAAAATTCCCGCCCCTGTTGGAGAAGTGGAGGGGCGGATGAACCTCTTCTGGAGGCTGTCCTCGATGTATTCCTTCAGGGCCCCCAATTCGAGCTCCGAAAGGGGGAAGATTCGCCCAAAAGGAATCTCTGAGCCGGGTCACAGGTCAACGGGACAGTCATACAGGCGGTGGGGGGGTAGAGTATCGGCTCCCCATTTACTGAACACATCCAGAAACTTATGGTAGGCTGCAGGGATTACCTGTTTTAAATCGGCATCCCCCTCAGAGCACAGGAGGAACTGGGGGGCCTCCGGGCCCGAAGTGCGGCAGTGTTCCCGACAGTATGGGGAAGGGAACGAGATTACTCCGGTCTCCCAGTCAATTTGGGGGTTATGGGCCCGTAACCATGGGAGCCCCAAAATGACTGGAAAAGGGGGGGTGCTATAGCATCCAGGTGGAGGAGTTACTGGTGCTGGCCGGCAATGGCAGTGGCAATGGAGGGGTTTCCTGGTTAACTACCCCCGATTTTATCCGGGAACCATCGGCCAAAAATATATTGAACCCTTTTTCTTTTAATAGGAGGGGAATACCCTGCTGGTGAGCAAAATTAATCTCCAAGAAGCAGCTGCATGCCCCCGAATCAACTATGGCCGTCACCTCCACGGTCCTTTCTGGAAGCTGAAAGGAAAGGGGCACCACTAAGTATTGGGATGGACTAATATTGCCAATAGACAATGAAGAAGAGGTGCACTTACTCAGTTTCTGCGGACAGGATCGTACCATGTGACCAGCTTCACCACAGTAGAGGCACAAGTTCTGGGATCGTCTGCGCTGGTGTTCCTCTGGAGATAATTTAGGCCGTGCCAGGCCAAGCTGCATGGGTTCAGGAATATCTCCAGGTGGCCGGTTCTGGCCTAGTTGGTTGGCTGGACCTTGAAATGACCCCCAGGGACTTCCATGACCCTGACCGTTCCTGCAGTCTACGGTTAATTATATATATATATATTAACTAAATGAATTAGGAACAAATAAAATAAAACAAGTGAATAAGTCCAATGTTTTTTCCACAGCGTGATATTGCAATCACGCTGGTGCTGCATGCATATTTTTGGATTATCCGTGATATTGAAGTGTCTTCTTAATAGTGTAATACAGAGTATATATAGTCCACCAATCTTAAATAATGTGCTCCTTCACCAGTTGTGCTCTCACCTGATATATATGACAGAACCGTTAAGTGAGGTCATACAAGCTTGTGCCCCTGTAACTGGACTCAAAGGTGAACAGATAGATAAATTCCTGTTTCCCAGGTGGATGGATGGATGAAAGAAGTTTTTCCCTTTCCCAGCAGGGGGTCTTGCCGCTTCCTAGGGATCTTATTCCTGGAGGCAGATGGATGTACAGAGTTATCCCTCTTCCCACTAGGGGGTCCCTTCAAACTTTTAACTCCATGTATATATACCATGAAATTAAAAAGAGAATATAGGGCCTTATCTTCTTTTTAAATAATTTATTAAACAAATGTAGTGCACTCACGTAACAGAAAAGTTAAAATCGCTTTTTGTGCAAATTTGCAGGATCCTTAATGTGTTTGCCACACTCTCATATAATTTCTGTGTGCTTGCCTTTAAGCGTCATGAAGTCAGAGACCCTCCCCTACTCGTTAAGCCACCAGGTCATGTGGCTTCATCAGGGGGAATTGATTGGACGTCGTGGCGCTCCTTGACTTATATACAATCTCCGGGCTCCATTTTCTAGTGGTCCGCATGGTGGCGGCCATGTTTTTGGGGCCGGATTCATGTCTTAGTAATCGGAGTTTGTGTGTTTAGCATGCAGTGTGACAGATCCATCCGAGATCCGTGATGGGTCAGCTGCATTGCCCTCACTCTCCGCTCCTCCCCTCTCTGCCTATGTATTCCAAAAGAGGGCAATATTATTTAATGCTAGATAAATAATAATATGGATATTTAACCAGTGGAAACATTAACTCTATTAAGGGCACTGTATATTCTCACAGCTGGCACATTTTATTTATTTATTTATTTATCTAGGGGAAATTAAAATCATCTAAAACTTATGTACTATCTATGTGTGGAGTACACCTGCAGGACATGCATATTAGTTAACATATTTTACATATCTGAAAGAATATATCTATATATATACAAATATAAAATAAATATAAAAAATATATAAAATTTGAACAATATTAGAAATTATTAGAATATACAATTATTTAAAATACACATAATCAATATTCAAAAGTGCAGAATCATTGCTAATAATTTGTATCCCTATGTTAAAGTACTAAATCCTATAATAAGTACCGCTATGTAAAAAAGTATAATATTAAATGGTGTCTACATTCTGCCTATAAGTGGATGCTTATATCTACTACCACTGCTGCCATAATATTGCTAATTGGAAAATCACTATTGGACACTATCCTTGAATTTTATCCTAATAAAGATAAAACATTTTTTTATGCAAATATGAAGGATTAAATTGACTATGCAAAAAAAAGTAGTCAAATAAAAAAATATTTCTGAAAAATAATTTTTTAAATTTTTTTTTACATCAGACCAATAATGCTTTCTAGGCCTATGTTGTATTAAACTGTTCCTATGAATAAATGAAAGGAATATTAAATACAGTATTATAATCATTCTACCCAGAGGTGGATGACCATACCATACTACCACTACTGGGTGTAAATAAAATATAAATAATTGTAGACATAGAATTGATTATACTAAAAAAGTTGTATTACTAATATAAATGGAGGTGGAAATATATTATATTTTATTTTTTAATAATTACTAATGAAACAGGAGAGGTCAAATTCCTTGTTAAGGCCCATTGGAGCTAGACTCTTCATCTCATGAATCTATCTGGATTATATTTTGCTTAATTCTCTGATTTTATTGTCCCCTCTCTAGTGACTAATATGTTTTTCAATGCCCCAAAATTGCAATAGACTAGTGTCCTTATTATGATATGTGCGGAAAGGCTGTGATAGGTGGTGGTATTTATAACCCCTATTTATATTGTAAACATGTTCCTTAACCAACTCCATATAAGGCAATGATGGGCGCAAGGTGGTTCTCTCGTTCTGGGAGGACGTCAATATGAGAGATCGGCGGTGCGCTGTGTCCCTCAGACACAGCGGATCACCGATCAACGGAAAGAGCCAAAGATTTCGGCTTGGTCATGTGATCAGCTGTGTCAAATCACAGCTGATCTCATGTAAATACGGAAATGCCGGTTATCGGCATTTCTCTCCTCACGAGCTGTCACGGTAATCGGCATTCCTCGGAGGGGACATGTACACTGATCATCAGGGCACTGATGATCAGTGTGCTCTGATGATCAGTGTAGCCCCAGCAGTGCCACCTGTCAGTGTCCATCAATGCCAGCTGTCAGTGCTAATCAGTGCCACCTGCCAGTACCCATCAGTGCCACATCAATGCCACATATCAGTGCCTACCAGTGCACATCAATGCCACATATCAGTGCTCATCTGAGCTGCCTTTCAGTGTCACCTATCAGTGCCAGCCAGTGCTACCTACCAATGCCAGTCAGGGCCACCTATCAGTGCTGCCAATCAGTGCCACCCGTCAGTGCCAGTCAGTGCCGACTATCAGTGCGCATCAGTGCCGACTATCAGTGCACATCAGTGCCGACTATCAGTGCCACCTAACAGTGCCAGTCAGTGCCGCCTATCAGTGCCAGTCAGTACCGCCTATCAGTGCCACCTATCAGTGCTGCCTATCAGTGCCATATATGAGTGCTGCCTTTCAGTGCCCATCAGTGATGCCTGTCAATGCCCATCAGTGCCACCTAGCAGTGCCTCCTCATTGGTGCCCATCAGTGCCACCTATCAGTGCCCATCTGTGCCACCTATCAGTGTCCATCACTGCAGCCTCATTAGCACATATCAGTGAAGGAGAAAAATCACTTATTTACAAAATTTTAAAACAAAAACTAAGAAAAAACTCTTTTTTTTCAAAATTTTCAGTTGTTTTTGGTTTGTGTAGCAAAAAATAAAAAAACCCAGAAAAATACCACCAAAAGAAAGCTCTATCTGTCTCAAAAAAATGAAAAAGTTTCATATGGGTACAGTGTTGCATGACCACGCAATTGTCATTCAAAGTGCGACAGCACTGAAAGCTGAAAATTGGCCTGGGCAGGAAGGGGGTATAAGTGCCCTGTAGGCTTGTGGTTAATTCTGTCTTTCAAGGCTCTTTTTCTTCTCCCTATATAGATGAGATTGCAAGGGCATTTTAAAGCATAGACTACTCTCACATGAAATAAATTCCTAATTGTATATTCCCTTCCAGTTAAAGGGTTTTGGATGGTGAATCTTCTCCTTACGTTGTTAGTTACTCTGCTACAACTATAGCATCTCCCACATATGTAAAAGCCAATTCCCTAAAATTTTAACGTTTTTCACTAATTTATCTCTCAGGTTAGGTGCCTTTTTGTAAACAAGCTTAGGTTTTGGTGGTATAATATTTTTAAGGTGTTTATCAAATTTCAGCATATTCCAGTGTTTTTGAATAATATTCTCCACTGCTCTATATTATTTATTATATTGTAAAACAACTGGTATTTCAAAGGCTCTCTTAATTTCTTGTGGTTTGTCTATTAGCATGTTTCTATCACATTGTCCTACTGCGTTTGGGGATGATATGTTGGGTTGCTATTTACTCTGCACAATTTCAACTTTTGTTGGTAATATATTGCATTACATACAATAAATTAACTTTATTTGGCTGTTTTAACTAATCTTCAGGTCTAACATTTTGCAATATATACAAATCAGCTTTGGCAGCAAAAGGGTTAAAGGAGACTGTACAAAAGCTTGGTTTGTAAAAAGCCTAAGTGAACCTTACACAGAAGGGTATCTAATGGGAACATCCATAGCTTTCTGTGCATGTGCAGAGGTCCAAGCAGTAGCCTGCATACAAGATTCCATACAGTTGTGCTTGGAATATTACATTCCTCTTCATACACTGCCTGTTGTTCCACAAAAACATAGTTTATGGGGCTTTTTATATGCTGTATAGCTTGGTGCATGAGTGCTTTTTTAGTGTACCTTGTAGAAACAGAACACACATAAAACTGCATTATTATAATGTTCATAGAAATCATGATTGGTGTGTGTGAGGACATATATGCACACATGCAAGCCTGTGATAAAATACATTTTGGTTAATCTGTGACAGCAGAGCTACAGACAGCATCCCTGTTACACAGATATGGACTTAAGCTATCAAACTAACAGCAAGTCGTAGCAGTTAGATCTATGGGTGTGTGCACAAGAGGTAGGGACACAAGGGATGAGGTGTCACCTGGGTCCTTACTATGTTTTGACACTCCGGCATAGTACTAAATGACTGGGGTTAATGTATAACTCTAAATTTTTAGATTTGAATAAAGTGGCATGATGATAAAACCACTGTCAATGGGAATGAAAGTGAGGGTAAATTCTAAATTTTGAGTTGGAATAGATGGGAAATCTACCTTGCTGTCATTACAACTGTGTAAAAGGGAATTATCTCACATTAAAATGATATCCTCACTTTCTCTTGAGTCTACAGGACAGAAAGTGAAGGAGAACTTCTCGAATGAGACACCTTGACTGAAGTTTTAACCTCCTGCTACCCTATCAAAAATTTATAAAGTGATTGAAGTATTTTACTAGTATATGCAAGCTTGTAATTTGCCTTTGAAAAAAAAAAAGATATTTGACAGATTGTAAAATGATCGCATGCAAAAATATACTATTGATGATATTATCATGACATTAAAAAAGATTTCACAATATATGTTATCAAGCAAACATTCTTTTTCATATGCAGTTTAGAAGAAACCTAGATGAATAGGTTACTGCGGATGTAGTTTATTTGGTTTTTGTTGAAGTATTTGACTTAGTTCTTCATAAACTCCTAATGTGAAAATTTGAGTATGTTTGTTTAAAAACTGCAATATGTTAATGCATTTACAACTGTTTCTTGTGTTTGCGGATGACATGAAGCTTCATACTATAGTTAAATTAATGTCTCCTATTAGCAAGCCAGTCTAGACACACTGAAAGACACTGAATTAATGTGAATAAATGTAATGCTATACATTTGAGAGCTAAATATAGATTTACAGCATTTTCAGATCAATAGTTTTTAGCATACTAATTTGGCCCATGGGAATTTAGGTGCAGATGAGTAAGATTAAAGTATTATATTAAAGGGTTAGGTTAAAGGCTAGGTTTTGATCTGCTAATTTCATAAGTAGCATGTCAGAGTTAAAGTGTAACTCAGGAATCCTCAGAATTTGTAAACAAATTGCCAGTTCACTGTCCTTCAAACTTTAGGGGGCCTGGCTGTGACCAGTAGGATTAGAAATGCCCTGGCATAGGTGGATTAAACCATTGCCCCAGGGTTAGTAGATAGTGGGGGTAACAAAAATGCCCCAGCATTTGTGTGAAAAAAAGGACATAAATTTCATTTATGTACCGTATTGCATGACCACACAATTGTCTGTTAAACTAGCGCAGCGCTGTATAGCAAAAAAATGGCGTAAATTGCAGTATCTATACCATAGTTTGTAGACGCTATAACTCTCACACAAAGCAATCAATATACACTTATTGGGATTTTGTTTACCAAAAAACGTAGCAGAATACATTTTGGCCTAAATTTATAACTAACTTTGAGTTTACTATATATTTTTTATAGCTTAAAGTAAAAAATATCGTTTTTCTTCAAAATTTTTGGTATTTTTTTTTGTTTATAGCGTGAAAAATAAAAAGCACACAGGTGATCAAATACCACTGAAAGAAAGCTCTATTTGTGTGAAAAAAAGGACGTAAATTTCGTTTGGGTGCAGCATTGCATGACTGCGCAATTATCAGTTGAATTAGTGCAGTGCCGAGTAGCAAAAAGAGGCCTGGTCAGGAAGGGTGGTAAATCCTCTGGAGGGCAAGTGGTTAAGGAAAAAAACAACTGAAACTGTTGCAGTGTTTTTTTCTCTATAGGCCAAACAGGCTTTGGTTCTCTCTTTACCTTCAAACTTATCAGAACTCAATCCTTCTTTTTCCTAGATGAGATCTTCTGTTCTATGGTGTAGTATTCCACCCTTGTTCATCTCCTCTGGATTTTGACTGATAGATGTATCTATACTCCAGGTAGATGATGCAATAATATAGTTTACAACAGAATTTGAGTGAAGTACATTCAGTTACAGCTGCTTATGATGCCTCTTGTTTCAATTCTCAGCTCCACTACATTCTGGACTTCTTACAGACCAGCTTGGATATTGGGCCAATCTTCAGTTCCCTTAGAGTGTGGATCTTGGCACTCCAGGCCTTCTCTCTTATGGGTGAATGACCCCATTCTCATTCTAATTCTTATGGGGGGCTACATATTAGACTCCAGAGAGAGCCAAGAATCCCAAAGTGGGAAGTGGGATTTATCATTTGTTCTTGATTTCTTGACAGCTCCAGATGGGATCACTTTCAGTCCAGTTAAAGAAACAGTGATCAATGAAGACAGCCTCTCTAATCGCTATGTCTTCCAGCCTTTTCGTTGTTGTTCCCAGTTTAGTGTTCTCCAAGCATGAAGAACTAAGAAGGATGACTAGTTATGTATGCTGGATGTCAGGATACTTTGACCTTACTCACAAGCTTTGGCTTTTTTAGAGATTTAGGCCACCTCTATGTCACTTTTTCTGGCAAAATCAGAGGGAAGGAAACTTCACCCAGCTTCACTGCTGGATATAGCTTTGGCCTTTATTGAAGTGATAATAACAAACTTAACCAGGAGTGTGTGGAGTTTGTGGGCTCCCTGTGAAGAGATCCCAAAAGCAATTGCATGGTTGGGAATTGTTTTCAAGGTCCGTGATGTGCTGGTAAGATATTTGGACTCATGTTGTAACCCGTTTCTAGCTGGTAATTACTACAGCATCCATTTGCTATAGGCCATCTCCAGGAATGTGTGCATCAGCATGATCCTACTATAATACCTTTAGGGGTCATGGTGGAAGTAAATTTTCATCCTTATCTCATTATTGTTGGATTTAAAATTTCCATTTGCTAAAGGATCCCACCCTTGTTTGGGGCTTATTAGTTCCCATTCATATGCTGCCATGGTGTTAGTAAGGGAAAACGGAATATTGTTATCAAAGACTTACCGCAATTTTTCTTTTTTGATTTATTCCATGGCAGCACAGGATTCCTCCCTATTGTTGAATATGTAGTTGTAAAAAACATGGACTGGATCAGCATCACAATTTATGGGAGGAGGGTCCCATGAAGTAGGAGTGAGGGTAGAGTCTACCCATTTGTATGCTGCCATGGAGTAAATAAGGAAAGACAAATTGAGGTAAGTATTTGATAACAATTTTCCATTTTTGCATGTACTAGAGCTGAAAGTCTCTGTGCTCAAAGATCTCACATCTAACTGATGACATACAAATGTGTATCAATAATATCCCTTTTCAAATATTTAATAGTAATGAAAGGTCTCTACTTTCTTTACTTTGTTGTTTATATTTATAAAATTGTAGAATTTCTATATGTGACTATAAATCTCTAATATAGCTAGTTAAGTAGTTTGTTCTTTTACGTATTCCAATTATATGGTTAAGTATTTCATTAGAGCATCTCATATTGATATTTTTTATTGACAAATGTTCCAGTATATGAAAGGTGTTCAAGTAAAACCAGGACTTTTAATTTTACAGGTATAAAAAGGGATGCTAGCGTGGCTGTACTACATGCAGTAGTAAGTGGCAAGTGTGTCCTATTACTGATTACTGGTGGCGCACATGTCGTGGGCCAGTCCAAAGATCATTAATCAAGATAACAGAGAACAGTGTTAGTGCGTG